AGCTTGGTTTACAGGTGTGTAACATCACACTCAGTTTCAGTGGCTGACTCAGTGCAGGGCAGGAAGGGCTTGTGGAACTCAGGATCAAACCTGGGTCATTGTGCTTGTTAGGCAGGCTCTTAGATGGCTGAGGTTGATGGACATTAGGTTGCTTCCAAGACTTAGCTATTATCAATTGTACTTCTATAAACTTGGGTGCACATGTATTGTTGTGGTACAAGGCTTTCAAATATTCTGGGAAAATACCCAGAAAGTGTATGACTGGGATTGAATGGGATCTCTAATCCTAGTTTTTGGAGGATTTACCACACTTAGCAGTATTCTTGTTCTTCTTGGTGTGTTTCAGAAATCCTGGAACCTCTGCATTATTTCCTCTGTGGGCATGTGTGGAAACCAAAGTTGAGGAAAGAGTTTCCCAAGAACACATAAGCTCTTTTGTTGCCTTATTCAGTTTACTTTTCACTGATCTTTCAAACTTTCTTTGGAATTCTAGCTTATGTAGGATTTTGGAAACACTAGTGACATGTTTAATCATGCAGTCTATGTTTCAGTCATGTTGTTGGTGCAAACATCAGTTAATGAAGACAAAGTAGATGATCCTTTTAGTACTCCTACTCAATAACAGACATTTTTGGAGATGTCACTTCTACACATAGACACAGAGAAAATTAAATACAAGCTCTGAGTTTTTACTTCTGAAAATTAAAAAAAATCCTCTTGTTTTAGTTGTGATGTTTTAAGTCTGCAAACAAGTTCCTTGAGACCTTTATGTAGTTTCCTGAAATCTGAATGAGGCAAAAAGAAAATCACAGAGTCTTAATATGTAGTCTTCAAACATGGAGGAATGATGTGCCCAAAACATGAGCCAATCAACTGGAGCAAAGCTGGGCTTCAAAGGGTTGCAATCAGAGTTTTAGGGAAAAAGTGGCCATGCACTAAACCAGGCTCACACAACATGTCAGAACTTCCTGATAAGGAGCAGTTTTTCTACTAATGGGACTAAACTGAACTTCAGAATCATAGAAAAGATAGAAACAAACAGTACTCACCTTGTGGTGACCCAGAAGAGTTCCAAAAAAGGGAAGAGGCTTTGGCCCAGGAATTCCCAGCTTCTTAAAAATGCCATGTGAAGAGGTTCCATATCTACAAGGTCATAGAAAAAGCCAGATATAGGGATTGTGACTGCATATATGTATGGGTTAATAGTCACTGATTCCATAACTGGAAGTCAAGCCAGGAAGTTAACATGTAATAAATAATAGCAAAATCTCCAACAGCTACAATTACAATTGCTCATTGCTTCTCTTTCCCATTTCCTGAAATATCCCCAAAAGCAGGAAGATTAGCTAAGAGTAGATGAAATCTTAGGCTCCCAATGTAGGAATGAGTATTGCTTAAAGTTCCCAAACTTGAGTTTGAGTGTTCCTGAAAGATGGAGGCTAGAATTTTTCAATATCACTTCAGTCTCTTGTGTTGATTTAGAAAGTATATGTGATGCCAACATGTCTATTCTCTAGTGATTTTCAGCAGGAGCTGATACACATGTGTGTCTCTAGGAGTAATGCCCAGTGTGGGAAGAAATGTTTTCTCACTTGCTTCTAACTCCTACCTTGGTATCTTTTATTTCATCACTGGCTCACACTCTTTTTACAATGAGAGATTAAGATAACTTGGGGTCATGCTTGAAAACACATAAAGTAAAATCAACTGACACAGATATATTTAAAAACATGTAGGTAGTCAATGTCATGAACATGGACACTTTTACATTCCTGGCAAGATTCTAAAAAGATGAGGTCATTTAAGCATGCCTCTGGTCACAGACACTGCACCCAACAGCCCTATTTTAACTTTCTAAAGGAGCATGATGTATAACTAGTGATCAGAATATATGGCAAATGTTTACATATTTTTAAAAAAGTTTTGCATTACAACACATGTTGGAATTATTTCCCCTCAAAATAGTTCTCTACATAGAGCCCAACTGTCCCACTGCTCTAACCACTTTCTGAAGAAGTTCTGGAGACCTCTGCCATATATGCTGTTAGTTGTGCTCTTCTGGCTTCCTTGATGTCATGAATATATTAAAAATGCTTAGTTTTTGTTGTAATTTTAACTTTAGGGAAAATCTAGAAAAAGCACAGGGCAGTCCTAGCCCAGACCCTGTGAATGTGTGGGAGAGCTTCCAGTATATAATTCTTTATGCCTATTTTTAAAAATATATTCTAATTTTTAAATGTTTTTAATCATGTTCTGAAGGGACTTAAATTTCAATTTATCAATACTTGATGAAAAATACCTGTTCCATATTATGCCTAAAATGTTTGATATGAAAACAGATAGTGAGGTTACGCTTAACAGCCTAAGTTATATGGTAATAACAATAAGCTTGTCTTCTGGAGGGTTAACAACCTAAGTCTGCAGACCAAAATTAGATGAAAAGGAGGGCTGCAAGGAAAGCCAACATTTTGGTCCTAGCCTTCCAAAGTCAATTAAGACTCAGGACATATGAGAACTTGTACTGTAACGTCATGTAACTCGGCAGTGTTCCAAATTTTCTGATCAAGGATTTTATGGGGCCAAATAAGAAAGTGATCCATGATGTAGAGTGTGCATAAGGAGAGTCATTTGGAGAAAAAACTTTCTCTCAGGCTTTCGCAGAGAGCACATTGGCCAAGCAATGGCCGTGACTCATCATCATGGCTGACACTGACAGAGGTTCTACAATTTGAGGTACAGGACCTCAGGATAAATCCTGAGGGGATTTCACTGACCTTCTCAGACCCGAAAGCTACAACTCTTGTTGCATAGGTCCTGCTTTACCTTGGTCTTAACCATCCAGCAGAAAAGTATAAAAACGAAATATAAGAAGTAAAGCCGAGACCCACTCCTAGCCCAGGTCCGGTGAGTGTGTGGAGAGCTTCCTGCTACCCTGTGCCGGAGGGACCAGTCCCAGCCCAGGCGCAGCATGGGCCAGACCCTCTCACACCTCCTTGGGCCACCGCCCATCACTCCGCAGCACCTCCCCACGCCGCCTTCCAAGTAGGAATTTTGCGGTGTTCAGGGAACCCCCGGACCCAGTCTTAGCCAGGTACAGTGAGTGTGTGGGAGAGCTTCCTTTTCCCCCTACTTCACCTTGCCCCCTCCAGGCACAGCTCAGGCCTGGAATACATGCCTGAGGTGTAACCCTGCAGCTGCAATTCCTGCAGGGAGTGAAGAGGATAGTGCTACCCAGCTAGTCCAGGAGCAGAACATCTTGCCACAGGGGCACAACATATTCACCCTCAAGGACAGCAGTGGGAAGGAACTGAGCACAGCAGCCAGACCTAAGCCAGACGCAGCTGGATAAGTCCAAACTTTGTAGAGCTGCACCTGAACTTCAGTATGTGCGTAGGTTATAACTACAGCAAAGATCTACAACAAAGGGCAGAAGACA